GCTGGATTTTAATTTTTTTTCTTTATTGTTTTTGCTTTTGTTACCATGGTTAGAAAAGCCTTTCCTATGCCAAGATTATAAAAATATTAATCCATATGTTCTTCTGGGCCTTTTATGGGTCTGTATTTTACATTTTACATCTAATCCATGTGGAAGTTCTCTTGGCACAGGAGTTAGTAAACATTTAACCCCCCGACTCCAAACGTTTGGCCTTTTGTCCTGACACCATTTGCTGAATTATCTGTTCTTCCCCGAAAGTTTTGAAATGCCTGAGAAGAGCAGGAGTAGTTCTTTAGCAATTTTTCAAATCTACTCGGCTGACAAGGATTTCCCTTTTGCCCTCACCCCACACCCTCCCTCCTGTTGACTATTTGCCTAAAGAGGTAGGTGGCGAGTGAGGACCGGGCCCATTTAGGACCTGGGCAAAGACTGGGAAGTGTCTGTCCAGGCAGAGTTGGGTCTCACCTGCCTCTCAACAACCCCAATCGTAACCACTTTCTCCCCCACTTTTCGCCATTCAACGTGTCCGCTTTCGTGAGACCCCTTAAGGGAATTTGTGCAGATTGATCTGAGGAACGTGACTACATTCCCCTTTCCCCCCGCTTTTTCCCCCCAAGTTTTCGGATCTACTTCCATGGCAGGATCAGAAGCTTCTCCCAGTGTCCACGGCTGGTCCTGATCTCAACAGAACCGGCACATCGCGGAGTGACTTCAGGGGACATGGTTCTGTTTATCAGCAGGTGGAACGACCCTGGTCCTGGAGGTGGGGGCACAGCCTCATCCACTCAGAGCCGTGGCCTTTGCTGTGTGCCGCCTGGGCTTTGAAAAATAAAGGTGTCTGGCTGCTCTTCAAGTAGAGAGAGAGAGCGGGGCAGAGTCACCTCAGAAGCTGATGAGAGAGAGAGGCGACTGTGTCTGCCTCCCGGTGCCCCCCTTTCTCTCTTGGCACCCTGGGGAGCTCTGCCGCAGTACTCAGGGGCCGTGGGAGGGGGGAGCTTCAGGGCAGTTTGCGCCGCACACTCTCCCCTTGGCTGTGCAATCGATCGCTGCTGAGCCCAGTCTGAGGAAGACGGCGTGTTTGCCTTCCGCACTAGATTGTGAGTGAGCATGTCTTGTTCACGTTTATGTCCCCAAAACTCAGCACAGCACTCAACACTTAAAATGGGCTCAACACATGTATATTGAATGAAATTAACAGACAACGTATTATTAATAACAGCAATAACGCTTAGGAATCAACTTACTACTTACATGACACTTCTGTATATGTTATGAAATTAAATCTTTTGTTCTGTTTTGTTTTGTAACTGATGTGTGGCTTTTGGGCAGAGAACGAGGACACAGCAAGAGGAAACGTTCCTTATGAAGTCCTTCGCTCATCAGGAGGAACAAGCCTACTGCGCAGGAGGTCTGGAAGCGGGGATCCGGGGAGACGCTACACCAGGCAGGACAGCTCCAGGACGAGGCCCGGATCTATAAAAGTGCATTTGAAGGAGGCTTAAGGCATCTGAGAGAGCCTTTATCTGGTGAGTGTTCAGAAGCAGCCACGTCCCCTCCCATGATCATACAACAAGGCCAAGGACTTGACTGCCTGTGTTCTTGTGGCTCTTCACAGAAGCCCCATGAAAGAGGGCTCTTGTCCCACGTGCCGAGTGACTTTCTGGACTTACAATTTCTCAATGCTTCAGCCACATCTTCAGCAAAAAAGAGTAATTTAATTTGTTATCCTAGGAAACACTGTGTTCTCTCCGTAATCCACAGGCCCATGGAGAATATGTTCTGCATTCACTCACGAACCTCCCTACGCTCTGAAGTTGTAAGATGGGACCCTGGCCCTGCCCGGATGCCTCCACCTGGTTCCTGTCGCTGTCTGCCACCTGATCCCATCCCCGGCTCCTCAGCAGGCAGGAAGCCTGCCCAGAGTCCGCAGCCAGTCCATGGTGCAGCCTACAAGAAAATACAAGACCATTTCGAAACCTGATCTCTCAACCATTATTTCTGCTGAGACTTCTCATTAAAGGGACCAGAAGGGGTTCCTAATTCTGTTCCCACAGTCTCCGTCTGAAATATTTGTTCCCTGCTTCAGAGCCTTAATTACAGAACTCTCAGTCTTTACCGGTGCAGTGGGGGGCTCAACACACGACCTCCCAGCCCCCGAGATTTTACCAACGGATTTCTCCTCACGACTCCGTTTCCTTCCGCGACGCCCCGCAATAAATAACCCTGGATTCCTGATTTCCTGGCTTAGCGGCCTGCTACACCATGCCGTCCTTCCAGGTCTTGCTAACCCGAGCGTGCATGTCTGGGCCCCGGCTCAGCGTCCGCCGACAAGTCAGCGCTTTGCGGCTCCGGGCTCCCAGTCCATTCCGGCGGCCCCAGGTCTCCGCGCAGACCGGCCCCGCGGCGCCCGAGCGCTGTGCGCGCCGCCGGACTACATTTCCCACAGTGCTCCGGGGAGCCGGCGACGCCGAGGTCCGGGGCCCGGCGGGCGGGCTCGCGCGGAGGGCTCCTGGGAGTTGTAGTCCGGTCCGCTGGAGACGGTGCTGCTGCGGGCCCGGCGCCGGCCTTTGTCTGTCTGCGGGCGCGCCCCGCTGCGGTGAGTGAGGCCGCCGGCCGGGTCAGTGCGCCCGAGCGAGGCGGGACTGCACCGTCGGGCCGCCGCCCCCGGGCCCTTCGCGTGCCGCCTGGCGCTTGCGGCCCCCGGCAGTAAGCAGGGCTGGCCGGCCTGGGCCCCGAGGGAGGCCAGGCGCGAGAGCAGGGCTCGGCGGCCCGCAGAGAAGGCTCCTCCGGGCCGGAGAGCTGGCTGCCGAGGTCCGGGAAGCGGGGCCCGCAGGCCCGAGGCGGAAGGGGAGGGTCTGCGCGAGAGCTGGGGCCGGGCGCGCCCTCGGGGCGGGGCGAGGCGAAGGCCCGCACCCTGGAGAGCGGGGGAGGCCCGGGCGGGTGAGAAGGGCAGACCCTCCGGGCGGAGCGTGGGAGAGACCGGAGCGGGGTGTCGGGGAAGATCCCCCGTCCCGAAGCTGAAATCCTGAAACTGTCCCCCAGAGGCTCCCAAGGCGGCTGCGTTTACCCTGTCCTAGTCCTCCTCTTCCGAGGACTCTGGAGGTGAGGCCTTAAGTCCGCAGGTCATGCCAGAGACCCTTCACGTTTGGTTCTTTGATGCTCCCGGGAGCTGCCCTGTAAGACGGTGGTGTTAACCCAAATGAGTGAGGAACCGAGGCAGGGCTGCTCGGTTGCTTGCCCAAGGTCATGTACTGGGGGAGCCACGGCAAGAATCGAGGTCTCTCCAGGCCTAATTCTGAGCTTTTTAGAAAGGATGTAATAGCCTTTCTAAAAGGAAAAACGATTGTTTTCTGTTATAAAGACGCTTTCTCCAAAATCTTCAGGAAATTGATTCCCCTGAGCTGTGATCTAGGGAGGAAAACCATGACCTTTCCCTTTATTAATCAAGGAAGTGCGGAGACACAGCTCAGTTGTTATTTGTTGAAGACCTCACAGCAGGGGAAGAGGCAAAGCTGTAAATTCTACCCAGTTGTTCTGACCAAACTCTATTTTCTGGAATGCAGTCCAGACAGTCCAACCCCAGGTAGCAGGTGCCATGTGCTCCCCACTGACTCTTAGTGGATGTGCAGTTGTCGAGCAGGAATACCTTGACCTTCCAAGTGAGGTGCTGACGCTCTGGTAGGGAATTGGTTTGTAGCTTGTGTTCCAAGTTGGAAGTGAGTCCTCCAAATAAAAGTTCAAAACGGCTCTCCTGGTTATCACAACGTGTAGCAGAATGTGCAGTTGCCAAGAAGAACCAGGTGTTTAGGTTAACAAAACAAAGAAATGTAGCATCATACTACTATCTCATTAAATCAGGAGGCCAGCATTTCGATAGGACATACCAGAGGGAAACAAAGATTATGCACTGAATCACTACATTAAAAAAAAAAAGTTTTAGGATTTCGTTATTGGGGTTTTGAGGAGGGATTTTTCAAAATTGGCGGAAAAGGTTATTTTTTCCTTGCAGGGGGTTTCTTGGCCCTTGGAGGGTTATTTGGTTTTGTTCAACTTTTTTTCCTTTCGTTTCCTTTTTTTAGGATTCTTCCCCACTTTTTTGGTGTTGGGGACTTGGGGACTTTTTTGTTTTGGGAGCTCGGGTTTTGTTTTGGGAGTTTTTGGTTTTGACCTTTTGTTCCCCTTTGCTTCTTTCTTGTTTTGGGGCTTTTGGGCAAGTTACTTAACCTAGTTGCAGTGCCTTGGGTTTGGTTTTGGAGTCCAGAGTAGGTTTACCTTTTCCAAAAATTGACAAGTATTTACACTTCTTCAAAACTGGTACCCTCATATCTTCAAGAATAGGAGAGGGGTGGTTCTGGGTCTGGAGCCTCATAAGAATTGTTAAAAAGTAACATAGGAAATCGCTTGTTATATCCTTATAACCTACAGGGATACTGGAGAGGAGAGCTGGAACTATTTCCAACATGGAACCAATCATGAGGGCTACAGTGCTGGTTTTTTAGATTCTGAATTCCTCTGGGGCTGGAAGGATAAAATAGCAGGTGGTTGGGGGGGGGAGGAAGTGGAAGATCCCAATCACATGTCAAGACTGAAGTACAAACAGGAGTGACCATTACCTTGGGATTGGCAGGAAGAGGATATGTGTGTATGTGTTCTCTGCTTTCTCACCTCCTCTTTCCTCCTGGACTCATCTGTGTGTGGCCCTGCCACCTCTGGGCCCATGTTGCGGTGACATTGCAGGTGACTGACATTACATCAGGCAGTCCAGATTTCCTCTATTCACTTGTACCCCAAACTGGAGCTTCAGTTAATGTAATCTTTCCCCCTTACCAATTCTCCTGCCTTTTCCTGTTTGTTTTTGTTTGTTTTGCCCCTCAGGTGCTCAGGAACAGCTCATGGAAGAATCATATGAAGAGGGCGTAACTGAGGTCCTACAGCAGGAGTGGACATGTTTGGATTCCCAGCAGCCACTCTGCTGGACTGTCACGGAAGATACGCCCAGAATGTAGCATTCTTCAGTGAGTGAGTCGGTTGATGGCTAGGATGCCCTCAGCTCACGGATACTCAGTGTTCCTGTCCTCGGCACTGGTTGGCAGTCTGAGGACGCAGGGGAGACCTTCCTTTGATGGAGCTTACTGTGTCTGGGGGTTACAGGAAAAGCCTACAAACTGGAGTTAGAAATAATAGTAAAAACAGAGCAAGAGAACAATCTTGATAGGGAGATAGTCTTGAGGTAGTTTCTAAGAAAATGAATGAGAAGCTTAAATCTTAGCACTGTCACTGAATGTCGATAAGGCAACGGAACAGGGAGAAAATTCCCCTAGGATAACACCAAGAAAACTGTCATCAATGGACCTGTATTTAAAGTGTACTAGGAGGCTCAGAGGCACTGTTGGAAAATAGTCAATATCTGCATAGGAAGTGTTTAATGATAACTTCCAAACAAAAATTGATTTCAGTTCAACCACAGCTTAGTAGACTAAAAGTAGCATTGATTTTAAAGGGAGAAATTCCTTGAATCAGATTCTATAATTGTCCTGTCTAGATCTGTGATATCAGACAAGTTAACTTCCGTAAGCTCCAGGCTCTTCATCTGTAAAATGGGACAGTAGGCTGTATCTTGTAGGGTTGTGTGGAATTAGCGATGATAGATATAAAGTACCAGGGATTCTGCTACATATTTTCTGAGGTCATGGAGCTCGCTCCACTGTCAAGAGAGCAGACTGGACAGAGGTGGATTTCGTAGGAAGCTAATGCAACTTAAACTTCAGAATCCCTCACTTGCATTGGTCTCTTCAATGCCCTGTGCCTAATTTTATACATTTTCTTAAAGGGTTGCCTCTAAAGTTTTAAAGCTTTGAGCCCTACACAACCTGGATCCACACCTGTTTTGGAGTCAGATATAACTTGGGTGTGGGGCTGTATGTGATCCTATACAGTTTTCTTAATTTTCTGAGGCTGCTTTTTATCTGTTAAAGAGATAATCACGTCTACTTCACAAGATTATTTGTGAGGCTAAATTAAATTAAAGTTAGAGGCCAGGAGTGGTGGCTCACACCTGTAATCTCAGCACTTTGGAGGTCAAGGTGGGAGGATTGTTTGAAGCCATGAGTTCAAGATCAGCCTGAGTACCCTAGCGAGACCCCATCTCTATAAAAAATTAGAAAAATTAGCAAGGCACGGTGGTGTGCACCTATAGTCCTAGCTACTCAAAAGGCTGAGGCGGGAGGATCGCTCGAGCCCAGGAGATGAAAGCTACGGTGAGCTACAGCTTGGGTGCCATTGAACTCCAGCTTGGGTGACAGAGGAAGACTCTGTCTTTTAAAAAAGAAAACAAAAATTAGAGGCAGTGTACTACAGTGGAACATTCCTGAGTGTGAATCCCAACTCTAACCTACCTAGCTGTGTGATCTTTGACAACCTCCCTATGCTCTCATTATCTGTAGGATTTTTAGGATTAAATTATCTATGCGTGGTACTTAGTATAATGCCTGGCACATAATAAGCACTCAAAGTATTATGTTTCTTTTTTCCCTTTTCTTCTCACTGAACGTATTGGTGCACCTTACATGACTTCCCTCTCATTTTCCCAGATGTGATGACTGAAGCTCACCACAAATATGATCATTCTGAGGCCACAGGATCCTCAAGCTGGGATATCCAGAATTCTTTCAGAAGAGAGAAGCTGGAACAAAAATCCCCAGATGCTAAGACACTACAGGAAGATTCACCTGGAGCGAGACAAAAGATCTATGAATGCCAGGAGTGTGGAAAATCCTTCCGGCAAAAAGGCAGTCTAACATTACATGAGAGAATCCACACTGGTCAAAAACCTTTTGAGTGTACCCACTGTGGGAAAAGCTTCAGGGCCAAAGGTAATCTTGTTACACATCAGCGAATACACACAGGAGAGAAGCCCTACCAGTGCAAGGAGTGTGGGAAAAGCTTCAGTCAGCGAGGTAGTCTAGCCGTCCACGAGAGACTCCACACTGGACAGAAACCCTATGAGTGTGCTATTTGTCAGAGAAGCTTCAGGAATCAAAGTAACCTTGCTGTTCACAGAAGAGTTCACAGCGGTGAGAAGCCCTACAGATGTGATCAGTGTGGAAAAGCCTTCAGTCAGAAAGGAAGTTTAATTGTTCACATCAGAGTCCACACAGGCCTGAAGCCCTATGCCTGTACCCAGTGCAGGAAGAGTTTCCACACTAGGGGGAATTGTATTCTGCATGGCAAAATCCACACAGGAGAGACGCCCTATCTGTGTGGCCAATGTGGGAAAAGCTTTACTCAGAGAGGGAGTCTGGCTGTGCACCAGCGAAGCTGCTCACAAAGGCTCACCCTTTGACTGCTCTCTTCAAAGGAAGTTCTCTTTGTGAATCAAAAGTACAAAATCCTCTGAGATCAGGAACCTATCTGACTCTGTGGAATGCATGGAGAATCTTTCAAAAAGTCC